AAGTCTAAGATTTTGACTGTAGTTTTGAGAATCTTGAATCTGGTCTCGATTCACTTGTTTTTGGTTGGTGTTCTTTCCTTGTTTCCCTAGATGATTCCTTTAAACACTAAATTTCTAAAGAGCACTTACAGTGTAATTGTCTAATAAAAAGCAAGCCTGTTCAGGAACAGCATATGTAACATAATAAGAAGTGTTCCTTTAATTTTCAGTCCCTTAGTCAATAGCTTTTTATAGCAAAATTTCACCTACAAGGTGTCCCCAGGCTTGGTAGAAAACGTGCACGCAGTGTGTTATGAAACAGTTCTCTTAAGGAACATTTGGATCTTTGGATGTGTGCTTGTATAAAATACACTGCATCCATAAGTTTGCAGCTCATTTCTCTATGCTTTCTCTAAAAACATCAAAAGTTGTAAAAGGTTTATTTTGGTTCATGTGGTAGTGTTTTGTGTGTGATTCTTTGTTCCTGTTCTAAACTGTTATTACCCACTGAAGTGAACCTTCTCCCGGGTTTGGCCTTTTGGATTCACAGTGTATTCAAAACCTAATTACAGATTAGTGTGTTTTTGAGACTTTCAGAGCAAGTATCAGAAGACTCAAAAAGAAAATGAGAGTAGTGGTATCATTTCATGTAGAGATAAAGAGACCCTAAACATGAATGGGTGTCAAGTCATCTGAAGAAAAGAAAAAAGAGAAGGAACTTCATTCACTAAGACTGATGGTTTATGAGTTGGGGATTATGGGAATATTCATGACTCAATCAAGAAGCACAATGAATTGATGTTTGAAATTGTTCATCTTTTAAGTAAACATTGGATAAATGGAAAGTAGACTCCATATTCACTCCATGTGGAATTGGCTGTTTCAGTGTACAGAAATAGCAGTTTGTTAATCCCTTCCTGAGTTGGTTTAGTTTATCAAGTAAATCACAAATTTATAAGAATTCTCTAGCTATGTAAATATTTAATGCAAATATTTAATAGAAAAAGGAGTTTGCTCTATAATTAGCCTTGCTAATATATACACATTTTTCCATGGGAAAGTAAGTTCTAATGTTGATAAATTAAATACCATTAAGATTTGGGGGTTTGAAAAGACTGTAATAGTGAGACGTTAGTTTGAAGGATCAGAAAGTGGAAAGTGTTAGTTGCTAACATTCCAACTTGATTTTTATGCATAACTCAGTTTTCTGTGCAGCCAGATACAAGACATTGCTGGAACTTTACATCAGAATTTAAAATTAATTCAAATATGCAAAATAATGTTCCTTATTATTTGTAATATAACTTCCTTGCAAAGCTTGAAATCATGCTTGTGTGTGCTTGTATAATCATCATATTTTAGCCTTCTTAAGTAAGGTGTAATAATTAAGTCCTCCCTCCCCTCCCCCACCAATTGCTTTTGTGTTCTAAGACCTGAGTATTCTCTGTTGTGTGTTCTTGGGAGCCCACCAGCTCTTCATTGTCAACGTTTAACCTGCCTCTTGTTCCCAGACTTGCTCTAGCTCTTGTGATCCTGGCATAACATCCTGGAAGCATGTTAAGTGCTTCTTTCCCCCCTCTTGATAACCTGTAGCCGTCATTCTCCATGCCATACTTCTGGTAACTTCATTTATCAAATATTTATTGAGCATGTATAGTAAGTTAGACATTGTTGTAGACATTGAAGACGCTGAGCTTTTTTGGTCCAGTTTCCTGCTCTTAGATTGTTCTCCAAAGGTCTCCTTTTAATCTCAAGAGGAAGAAGTAATAATACTCATCTTATCATAATATTCATATTATGATAGCATAATATTCATTTTTTAGACATTTCTAGACACAGAACTACTTAGGAGGTGCTCAGTAACTATCTTATTCCCTATTTTTATTATCAAAATATCTTGTTTCACAATAGGCAGGCAAAACTTGCAACAAATACACTTGCAATAATAGCATTTGTTTTGTTACCATTTAGAGTCTGCATATGGTAGTAGATCTAGTATATGTCTCTGAAGTGGAGGAATGTGGACAAGGCTAACTCTCCAGGCTTAATAGCCTCGTCTTTGGCAGTGAAACGTGTGGGGTTATATGAGGACCAAATGAAATATGGGATCTGAAATCACACAAAATATAGTAGACACTTACAGACTTAGAGAGAGGTAGAAGGTAAGCAAGGAATTCTTCTTAAAGGCAGGGTATCATATGTCTCCATGTCACTTCAGTAAGTACATTATATAAGTGAAGGAGCAAATGAAGAAATGAGTTTTCCAATTTAGTATTAAAAGGAAACATTTATCACAGTTACTCTTTTTTCTTTCAACTTTTACCTCCATCCTCTTCTCTCTCGTTTCCTCCCATTAACTTCTTAGTTACTTACTAATGTTCTTTGTGTTATTCTTGAGGTTTCAGGGCATAGAGGTACAGTGTCTTAATATTCCAGTGGTAAAATATTTTGTAAAAATAACTTTTCAAAGGGAAAGTTGGTTATTTTCTATTCTGTGGTTTTCATGTATAATTAGTTTTTTTAAAAACTTTAATGTATGAGAAACATCACTTATCTTGAATTTTAGAAGAATTTGAATTTGATTCAGATTCCACAGTTAGGCACATGCATCAGAGTGGCTCTTGGTCTCTGTCAATACAAGTCAATCTTGCTGTGAAGTCTCTTGTGAGTGATGCTACTGTCCCACACACTCAGAGAGTCTGTCCAGCTGAGCATAGAGGTCATTGACAGGGCAAAGGACAGATAGAGCTGGCCCTTCAGCTGCCTGATTGTACTCAGATGATGGAGCAGCTAGACTGTGATTTAATGCACTTTTCCCACGTAGAAGTAGTTCTCAGTACTGTGTTCAGAGAGCTGCTAAGGCTCTGAACACTTGTTTGAGATTTCCATATTTTGTGCTGTTTAAGCTAGATGATTTTTTAAAAACTTCATCCATTTCCAAAATTGTATGAGATGATTTAGAAAACTTTTTTCCCCCTATTTCCCAGCCTCCTTTAAAGAAAGTCTTCAACTGAGCTATAGTATCTGAAACTCTGTAAATGTTCAGTGAAGAAGATAGGTGAACTGTTCCTAAGTAACTATATGAAATAATTTTTAAAATAAAAATGTGGCCTTATTTTGTGAAAGGAAGGATGTTTACTGGTTTGACTGCTAGTTAAAAAAACAAAACCCCCCATAAAAAAAAAGACTACAAAAAGTACAAACTAAATTTCCAAGAGTTTGATTTTTTTAGATAGAAGCAAGGAATTCTTGTTTATATTTACCTGTAACATATTTTCTCAGTAAATAATTTGTTTAAAATATTAGGGGATCCCTCTGCCCTGGCCTTTTTTTTTTTTTTTGGTATGTATTAATCTCAGTCTAATACTAAGAATTAGAAGTTCTAAATTACTGGAAAAAGAAAATGAAGACATTGCATTCTTTATATACAACTCTGGTAGGCTACGTTGAGTTCCTGCAGTGCTGACAACAATTTACCAAAAGAACAGTTCTTTTTATTGGCTACTCATCACAAATGCTATCTCATTGATAGAAAAGGATACTTATATCTTTGATTGCAGATTATATATTTTTAAATGTAAAAGATGCAAATGTTGTAAATCAATTATATTTCAGTTTTTAAAAAATAAAAAATAAAAGCTGAAAAAAATATAAACTTCGTAAGAGTAAGAATAGAAAGTAGAAGGCTTTGCAGTTTTGCCTTTAGGTCACCAACTTTGAACCAGTCATTTCACTTTAATTGATAATTCTCACAAACATATTACGTTAACAGGATAAAAGAACTTGTTATCATGCTTACTATTGTTGTTCGGTCACTAAGTCAGTCCATGTCCAACTCTTTGCGACCCCATGGACTGCAGCACGCCCGGCTTCCCTGTCCTTCACTATCTCCTGGAGTTTGCTCAAACTCACATCCTTTGAGTCAGTGATGCCATCCAACCATCTCATCCTCTTGTCACTGCCTTCTCCTTTTGCCCTCAATCTTTCCTAGCATTAGGTGGCCAAAGTATTGGAGCTTCAGCTTCAGCCATCAGTCCTTCTAATGAATATTCATGGTTGATTTCCTTTAGGATTGACTGGTTTGATCTCCTTGTTGTTTAAGGGACTCTCAGGAGTCTTCTCCAGCACCACAGTTCAATAGCATGCCTAACCTGTGTTTTAAAATAGGAGCTGCATGATTAAGTTAGCAGTGAAGTAGAATAAATCATGATTCTTTCTGCTTTTAATATTAGGGGATTGGCATGCCATGTGAATACATTTTGAAGGAAATTTTTATATTTCAGAGAGAATTTGTAGATTTTATTTGAACACCTAAAGTGAAAACCTGAAATCAAATAAAATAATGTAAATCTGTCTTCAGTGGCTCTGGTGTTTTTAAACTTTCCTTTCCTCATTCACAGAAAGAAAAGTACTTTTTTTTTTTTTTAAGTGTTACTGACTTTTTCATTTTTGTTGAACGTACTTCCTACAGTTTCTTTTTTGTCTTTCAGTGTTAGGACATTTTGACATACAAAGTGTACATTTTGATGTGGTCATATTGGTTGATCTTTGTAACTCTTCCTGTTACTTCACACTTAGAAAGTCATTTCCTAGTCGAAGGCCAGTTATATACTCACTTGTATTCTCTTCTAATGTTAAAAAATTGGTTTTATTATTTTATATTTTCCTCTGTTCCAGATAATGCTAACTGTGAGTCCTTGGTTAGACCCCAGAGAATCTTAACAACTCCTTAAAGTTCTACACATAATTGCATGTGTATCTATATCTGTATTTGCCTTTTTCTGTGTAAGAATCTGCAACATTTATTAGATTCTCAAAAGGATCTGTCCGCTACACTCTTCCCCTTTCCAAAAAATTATTAGAAGGGCTATTGCTATAATCTGATCTTCATTTGGATATCAGATGGTGTGTCATGTGAAGATGATTTTTCCCCTTTTCCTAAGTAGTTCAAGTATCCCAAACCATTGCCTTCAAGAAATAAATTTGTTTTTAATTAATTTGTTATCTTTTTATATCTACAGAAAAAGTTAGAGAAATTCAAGAAAAACTTGATGCATTTATTGAAGCTCTTCATCAGGAGAAATAAATTATAATAAGTGAGTAAAAAAACCTCTTACTGCATTGGTACTGATTAAACGCAAAATTTATATTTAAAACTTACTTTAATAGTTTATCATTCTACTTAACTATATCCTACTTACTCCTTAATAATAATCTTAATGTAATTAAATAATTTAAAAAGCAGGAATTTCCAAAACTAGATTCTACAGTTTTTATGTATGGTGTTCCTTTGAATAACTTGATCGCCTTGTGGCTGAACTAAAAATCTCCCCTAGAACTCATTTTGAACAGAAAAAAGGTGAACAAAGCTAAAATGTTTCATGATATGCTGGTGGCTCATAGGTTTTCTGTTTATGAAGAATTGAACTGTTGCACTCATTTTCTCATTGTTCGTATTCAGTAAATAATCACATATATGTTCACTTGCAAAGCTTTTTATTTGGGGTTGACTAAAAATTTTAATAATTGTTCTTAATCTTATTTTCAGCATTTAAAAACATTTAAATAAACTTTTTCAATTTAAAATAACTTGACAGATGTAGAACTTAGGACTCTTCTGAATGTGTGGGCTCTTGTCTAATTCTGTAGTGTGGCATTGTAAGCAGTGCCTAATAAAATATTATATTTGAAGACTTCCCTTAATAGCAGAGTTAATTGCTAATTATTGCTGAAAAAATATAATTAGGAAGTCTTTTATTGAATAAGTCAAGAAAAGGAAAATGCTATAATTAAGACCTTATCACTTATTTAAAATATTTAATTACTCACTTTATTTGTGAGTCCTTGCTGTGTAGACAGCTTGCAACACAGAAGTGAACGGAGTAGAAAAGTGAAAGTTTTTCTCCGTAGCTGCACTGTGTTCAGAAAAGGCCCTTAAATCAGCCTGCCTACTTTCTTGTACTGTCGAGGCAATATATTTGAGAAAGCAAGCTAGAAAAAGGAATCACAGCTCAGACCAATATCACATAGAATGGTACACCAGCAATGCATGAGAGAGGAAGGAGTAAAAAGCTTTAGAATAATGCTTTGTTACTTTGTTTATTTCTCTTTCATAAGCTAAGACAGGTATATGGATGTATGCAAAAATGTGTCTAGAAACTAAATATTAATCATCTTTCACACAGGCCAAAAATAATTCAGTGTTTTTAAGTGTCTATGCTCGTAAACGTTTTATACAGTTTCAGTGTACGAAAATTTTCTTTTAAAACCATGAAATGTTATGATGTCTTCCTCATTGTCATAGTTCCTTACTATCAGTAGGTAATGTTAGAAACATTTGAGAATCTTCTGGATTTCATAAACATCAGAGTTTGCTTGATACTTTTGTTTACAAATAGAGTTTTTTGGGGGCTTGGAATTCACAGAAACCCAATTAAAAATATCAGGTACATTTCCATCTCTTTAATGAAATAAGGAAGCCCAGAGCCAACCAGGTCAGTGTCACTTACCTAAGCTGGTCAGTGTGACATCTGGAGTGATTGTTGCTGCCAGGAACATGCCTTTTCCTGCCAAAGTGTCTGGCCCAGGTGAAGGCCGAGACAGTCCTACGAGGCAGACTGTGTACTGGAAAACAGTCCCAGCTTATTTTGTTCCCTACTTGTCTCTGCTCTCTAGGGCACTTCCCACCCCTTGACATTCATGGCTCTGTGAACTGTTACATTTATCTGTGAGTTGGACAGATGATCTATTTTGTATACTGCAAATCCACTTAAAAGAATAAATCTGGGACTTCCCTGGTGGTCCAGTGGTTAAGACTGTGCTCCCAATGCAGGGAGCCTAGGTTCAATAGGTTCCCTGGTTGGGGAACTGATATCACATGCCACAGGCAAGGCTAGAAAAAAAAAAGTAAAAGAATAAATCTGGTGAAACTGTAGCCTTGCTTCATTTTGACCATTTAATAAAAGTTGCCAGGCATCTTAAGGAATTTGTATTCTTCTCAGTGAGTTTTGAGATGCATGTAGTTACTCAGCCTGATCATTTTGAATAACTGATACTTGCTGAAGATTAATTCCAGTATTTTTTGATTCACACATCATATTTGATAAAACTGTTGTATTGTTCTGGTGGATATTTTAAATTTAATGAAGCTAGCAACTTAGGCAGTTAAGCTTCAATATTTTTATGATCATACAATAGTAAAATTTACTTAGAAATTTTACATTTGTCTCCCCAGACTTAAATTTACCAGTGAAAATTCTGTTTATTTTTACAGAATCCTACTCATCATATAATCACCTCTGCATACATCTGAAGAAAGAAAACTCGAAAGTCTTTTGTCTTGCCTTTTGTTCTTCTGCTATTCTGCCTTTCTAAACATAAAATAAAGTCATGGAATAAAAATGATTTATGTGTGTTAGAGGCACTTTTAACAGTCAGCTACCTTTTGAATGGAAGAAAAGTGGAAATGCCATTAACATTCTGTTTTATTGTATTAAAGTGAGAAACTGGGATAATTTAAGTGGTGTGGCCATTAGGCTGTCCTTGAAGATAAGAAACTTGCACTCCTGCTTGTTGTCTCATTTCTAGTGGCACGAGTTCAATTGACTCATTAGCCAACGTTACTGGATGTAATTTCTTTTCCAGAGAAAGAATGTTAGGTGTTTTGAAATAAAACTTATGGCAATTTTCTAAAGGCTGTCAATTGTATATAAAATGATGGTAACCTGCTGAGTTGTTGTCTGTATCTGCAATGTTCTGTGTACAGAAGCTATTTGACCAGGATAGTTCAGTTTATATTTACTTGAAAGAAAGTGAGTTAACAGAAAAACTCTTCAAATAGGTTAATTTGTATTACAATTCTTTGTACATTCAGTGAAAGATTTCAACCCTTCATTGACAGCTTAGAAGTTGCCTTAGAAGCTAAGTCAGTAGCAGCTTACCTATTGGATTCAGTTGATGTTTTTGTACTTTCTCTATCCATTTGAATTCATTCATTTTGGATGTTTTATACTTGAGCTAGGCTTTCTTATTGACAGTGGTTTTTTGTTTTGTTTTTTTTTTTTACCTGTTGACAGAGCTGTTGGATTGTGACATAAGATGGGGAAGATTAAGAATAATCAATTGACTAATTCATTTAGACTATTGTCAACATTTCATTGAGGCCTCAGGAAAAGCCTTCTTTCATAAAATTGTGTTTTAAATGGAAATTATTTCAAGAGTTAGAATTATGTTGACCATTCCCTTCTTCCCTGGATGTTTAAAGAAAAATATAAAGTGTAATTCATTGCAGTTCAATTATGGTAATATCCTCACATCATTTTCATGTTGTTGTTTTTTTAATATTTTGTAATGGCTAAAGGACTTTAAAGCAAAGAAATAGGCCATTTTTGACTTTCAGTGTCTTTGCCATTTAACTCTGCTTCTTGCTGCCATTTCATTACACCTTTAGTATTCTAATAAAAGTGCCCATTTTGTGACAGTTTTTATTTTACAGTTTACTTAATTTTTACGTTTCTTAGAATTATGTTCTGGTAACAGTTCCCACATTTTTTTAAATTTAACATCAGTACATTCTTTATTGTGATCTCTATCAAGATCTGACACAATATGCAAGGTTAAAGGATACCACAAAATATTTCAGAAATTGAAAATTCAGGAATTATTTGTTATATACTGTTTGATAGGATGTAGATGCAGTTTTAAGCAGAGAGTAGCAATATATTTTATTTGGGAGCTGAGTCTTCAAGAACATTTCTGTATCCTTCAGACCTGGGGACAGTGGGTGGGTGGGTGAATGGAGAGGGAATAGGGTGCCCCGATGTTCTGTACAAAGGTTAAGAGGTGACCTTACTGGTTAACTCCCTCTGACTAGTGCTGGCCAGTGAGTGAATACCCTCACTGAAGCAGACATCATTCAGTTAGTAATTAATATTTTTGCAGTTGTAAAACACAGCAACTTTACAACTACAAATGTATTTCTAAAAAAAAAAGGAAAAGGACCGTGTTTATTTCTGTGAGCTATGGATAGGGAAAAAAGTGCTCAGCTGTGTTTCTACAGATTTCCCCCAAGCAAAAGGCTGATATTAAGTCAGTGCTTTTATTACATCTCTTTCTATAAATTTAAGAAGGGGTGGTTAAAGGAGATGTCTCCATTTCTTTGAGATTGGTATTTGTGATTTAAATATATAAATAAATAATAAAATTTTATTAAAAATCCCATTTTAGAGTCCAGGCATTTCCCTGTCCTACTTGGTAATATAACTTCTTTCATGGATTATATATTGTTTTCCTTTATGGCAGATCTCACACTAAGCATGCTTCCCTCCCCACCCAAAAGCTAGCTATTTCTTAAAATTGGATGTTTTAAAAGAAAAAAAAAAACTCTCAGATTTTCAACAGTAAACTGTGTTGTGTCAGTAGTTCAGAAATCACAAATGATTCAAATGCAAACAAATCACTACACAAAAGTATAAAAATGTAACAAATAGAAACAAATTCAGTATATAAAAGTTAAATTCTAATGAGACCAGGAGTCATTTTGTATTGCACCACAGAATTTGCAAGGAATAGAATGAACAAAACTCTACTGAAGACTGAACAACTGTAAATAGATTGTATCTAAAATTTACTCAATCCAGGTATCAATTTAAGAAATCAAGCTATGTAGGCAGTGAATGATAGGAAATGAGCGGTTCCTGTAGCTTCACAGTTGAACCATAGTTCAGCTGAGCTGTAGTTACAAGCGGAGCAGTCAGCCTTTCTTAGCTGCTTAATTATGTCCTCTTTTCTGTGTATTATCCCCTCTTTCCAGGCTTTACTCCAACACACTCCTTCCCACAAATTATTGAGCCTCCAGATACAAATGAATAGTGTAATAATGAGTAGGGAACGTTGCAGAGAGTGGTATTTCCTGACCTTATAATTTGGGAATTTTGCATATGATATTAAGATTCAGAGTGTAGGTTTAAAAGGTAAATCCCTTAACCAGTCAATAATTTTATTTTTATTTATTTTAGATGTATTTATGTGCTAAAAGAAATATGTTTTAGTTTTCCAATAAAGGGGATCAAAGTTTTGTGTTTTGTT